TCAAGAGAGATGGTTTGTGGGGATATTGAATAATTAAAGTGAAATCTTGATATAAGTTTCTTACAATAAGATAATGTTCTCCTATGGTTTGATAATAGATTGTTGGATTAATAATCATGAGAGAGAGAGAGAGAGAGAGAATCTTTATGTTTCAACTAGGAGAGTGATATTAATAGACAAGATCTTCTTGAGTTTCGAGACATGAGGAGAGCTTCCACAAATCTGATATATGTACTATTTTCCCAATAAATATACATTCATCCAATTTATTAAAAGAGGAAAGGTTAAAAAAAAAGAAAGATTACAAAACCTGTCATCTTTGCCTCGCAAATCAACAAGGGTGACAATTCATGCAATAAGATAAGGTTCAACTAAAAAAATTAAGCTCAACGAAATTAAATTAACTCAACCCAACCAAATGAAAGTAGCTATCATCCCAGGGTAGTGTCAATCCAACATTTACTACATGTGATAAAATTATCTAAACATGCCAACCCAAAAAATTCAATAAACATTTGCAAGTAGCTTTTCATTTTTATAATAATGAATAACTCCCTAATATAGTGGGTTAACTTTTGCTTGACCCAAACCCAACAAATTTTTTAGGCCTCTTGAGTGTCAGCCCAAAGTTGAAGACTTGGTGCTGTGCTAAGGCTATCATATCAAATCAAAACTTTGCCAAATCTATTACTTATAAAGGCTATTCCAAATAATCAAAAATGATATCTCAACAGCAGCCTAAATGCTAAGTAGAAAAAAAATATATCTTGGTTATTTAAAGATTTTCATGTAGATACATGGTGTAATAAAATAAAATCATATCCAGCTTTTTAAATATATATAAAATCCCAAAAAACATCTCAATAACCCTTGAATCAATGGATCCACCAACTACACTTAAAAAAGGTATGGCCAAATGAAAACAATGGGGTGAATAGCTTATGGGGTGGCTGAAAGTGTCTAGCACTCATTTTCATTGGACAACTCTTTTGTGGTTAATTTTGGTTGATTTATTTGCCCTTTGGTTCAGACATATTGTTGTCGATCCATTTCATTATTGTCGAGCCATATCATTGTAAATAGTAAGAAAAAAAAAAGAAAATATAACCATATGTATTATAGTCAGATTATCTTTGATTGTTAATCCCAAATGATGTAGCCATTTTTTCTGGATTAAATTCTCTGCCTTCTAGAGTGTATTCACGGATTTACTCTTACTAGATTCGCGTGGATCATAAAAGGCGGGCTCGCTATAAGCATAATTAAAAGTCAAGATCAAATGCCGACACACCGTACACTAAACTTTTTCTACAACCACAAAACCAACATGTAGCTCAACCTAAGAAGGTCCAAAATCTAACAAGTCTTTAGAAAAATACACATCCATGAAAAATCCAAAGTAGTAAACAAGAAGATTTATAATCTCACGTTAGATAGCAAGTATAGGGCACCACTACATGACTTATAATAACATAAAAAAATGAAAAGAAGCAAATTAAATGAAGAGAATGCAAAGGAGTGACAATAAAAACTTTGATGTAAAATATAGAGACCAAAATGCAATTTATCTGTATAAACATATCGCACATTGTAATTTGAACTTGAAATAAGACATTGATTAACAACATTTTTATGACAATGCTCTCTGGATGACTTATGTGTCAAATGTAAGATGACCAATGTATGCCGTACCTAGTTTATCATGGAAAACTCTATGTCAAACTACTATTAAACTTAAGGACAAGTTGCCCTTTCAGGTTTGTAATGCTAGCAATTTACAATCCTTCTGTGATCCTTGGTTGAATCGATCCACTATCCATGCCAAATGCGGTCAACAAGTCTTTACTAGGTTTAAGTGTCCTATCTTGGCTAGTGTGGGACAATTCACTGCTAAATCTACTTGAGAACTTCCTTGCAATCACAACATCTCTCCCAGCTGTCTTTAAGCCATTAATAATATCCCAATTGTAGATAATCAACATTCTTATCTCTGGAAGGGAAAGACCTAACTTTCTAACTATAATGTCAACATTGTCTTCTACATTAACAGTGACAAACCGAACAGGTGTGACCTGATTTGTTTTAAAGGGTATAGCCTTAAATGCTTCTACTGCTTGGAAAATCCTTCATAATGGGTTAAAAACTAAAGATTGTTTGGCCACTAGAGGACTGAATGTGAATCACAATGTGTGCTCTAAATGGTAAATCAAGAAACTCATTCCCACTCCTCTTTTGACTGTCTTTTCTCTCTGTGCAGACCACATAGTGGGATTAAGGCTTCGCTGTCATTGTTGTTGTTGTTTCATGATTCAACCGAACATTTTCTGCCCCGGATAGATTCTTCAGATCCCATTGCTTATTTTGAAGTTTTGAGCTGTGACGACATACACAGAACTTACTATGGGCTAAATCGGCTTCCATCTTATGGGCATTCACTAGTACCATAGCTTTGGCAGATTCATCTTATGGTTGCACTTTGGTATGAACGAAAACTCCTTGCTCTTATGCCTAATATACAGATACTCCTTGTTTTTCACCAACCTAATCTCAAATAAGATCATTTTTTGCATTTTTGGCAAGTTTGGATGGAGCCTTGTCATAGACATCGTTGTATTAACTGAGCTCAATCTACCCATTTGGTACAAATATGTCTATTGGAGATTTTTCTAAACCCTCACCTTTTGTCTTTTGTTTTCTTTCTTTTTGCAGGTTCACTTGTTTTATACCGGTACATGTAACCTATTATTTGTTTTGCAATCTCAATTTATACAAGAGGGCGCCCCCAAAAAAAAGTGTAGAGATGCTCTTCGTACTCCCCACTATCAAGAATATTCCAATAGCTAATCGTTCATGGATGCACATGTGATTTTTTTTCCTTCTCATTCCTCTTCTATTTCACGTTCTTAATTATTTATTATTTGTGTATGTGCAAATGATAATAGAAGGTGGGGGTGTAAAAGAGTCAAATCAAGCTCAAGTTACCCGAGCATTGTGTTTGAGACAACTCAATTAATCAGGTTCAATCCAAATCCAAGTGTCCAGTCATATTCAAGATTTAAGAAAATAAAAGCAATTTTGCTGACTATCACGACTACAACATTAAAAGAACAAAAAATTCTGAAGTGAAGATGGGTACAATGGTTTCTACCTTCAAAACTCTTAAATTCTATTACAAAAAAAAAAACAACTCAAATATCTATTTTAAAATGAGAAGCTCTTCTGAGTTGGGGCAAGGCAGCAATTTCAGCTGTTAAACTAGAAAAATTCAACCCCACAAGGCAAGGGATGAGTGATATCAAGTCAAATTAAAGCAAGGTACTCTAAACATGATGTATTCAATATTGTAATTTTGAATTAATACAAATGTATTTATAAGGGTATAATATTTAATATATTCACCATTATATGTATATGCATGTATATATGTGTTGTACCCACTCACTAAAACATTTATATCCTCTCTTTTTTTATCAATGAATTTTGCCTTTTATATATATATATATATATGTCTGTGTGTGTGTTAAACGCGCGCTTTGATGAATAAGTGATCAAATTTTGAGCTTGGGCGAAATTATCAACCAGATAAGAATGGGTAATGCTTGAAGTAATATTATAATGGTCTACATCCAAATTTGATTCTATAAAGGTAAGTGACTTTAAAATGAAGCTACATCTTTATGTTTCAAAAAATGTACCATAAAATACTAGAAAATGTTAGTTCTCAATTATCTCTAACAGAGAAGAACTACCAAATTTCTCATTTCAAAATAGCATTGTTAACACCATTCTAACTTCTAAGCGCCTAAAAGGTAATATGAAAATTGCCCCCATATCACATTCTTTTTTTTACTTTAATATTTATGACATAATCATCATTCCACAAACTCAAAACATCAATATAAGGACACAATTTGTTTCTTACGTCACTTGAAATAAAAATATTCAGAAACTATAACTGACCACAAACCTTAGTACATTGCCTATTCACATGAATTACTCCATTTGAGTCCCTAGAGAACCAAAGTGGTCGAAATCATTACAGTCAACGCACAAACACAAAAGGTGAAAAATAAACGAAAAGGAATAGCATAAGAATCTGGCTCTAAAATGTAAAGCTACCTCACTATTCAGTAATAAGGCAACCTAAATCATCCAACGTAACAAAACTAAGCTTAAAGAAATATTAAAAGTATTTAATATGATGATATTCTTACAAAAACCAATTACCAAATTAAATAGCATGCTTGATTAAGAATTGTGAGATGCAATAAGTTTTCAGGACTAAGATTCTATGCAGTATTGCGATTAAAAAATTACCCTGATTACCATATTAGTAACTTAAGCATTAAAATTGCTTGTCAAACCCAATGTTGGCTCCAGCTTTCCATCCAGTAGAGCAGAGTTCATAATAGCTAATCAAGCTCTAGGTAAAATAGAATCAAAACAACAATTCTGTCCCTAACCTAGTGAACTAAGAAATAATAAACAGATCTCCCTCTTTTTCCAGCAATCCTTGACCCTTCAACTTCCAGTCAGTGCAAACACTGAATGATCACCCGGATCAAAAATATAAAGAATACGGCATACTTTATGCTAGATCAAACTTTACCCAAACCCCTAATATATAGACTCCCATGAACTAGAAATTGACAACCGCAGCAAAGTCCAAAAGATGGGTGAAAGTTAATACAATTTAATGTAAGCAAAAAAAAGTTGAGTAACCATTTGAGGCTGGTATACTCCAAAAATCAGCAGATAACACGGAATGCATTCAATAACAGCCATAACTTTTAAAAAAATTTATATTAATGTTTGAAACAAAGCTACAAATGAAAAGCCCATTTTTGCAGCGATAACTAGGGTTGTCAACTAAGGCATCAGCATTCATAGATGTAAATTCTAAGAATTCAGTTAGTGATATTCAAGAACCTGCACTGGCAAATAGGCTGCGAAACAATCGCACAATATGCATGTCAGTTATAGGTTAAACCAGAACTCACACTTGGGCGTCCATTTCTGTCATAATGAGTTGCGGAATGTTTTAGATCACCAAACTCAGAAAACAATTCCTGAATTACAATGAGAACATATCTTAGGATGTGAGAATAAATTCATTCAATGATACAGAACTCGAAATATTTAGCATCACACAAGTACAATCCTGATTTACAAACCAACTAACCTTCACATCTTCAGTGGATACACCATGATCCAAGTTGGATATGTATAACTTTGTTCCGCCTGCAGCTCCTCCCAGCCCAGCAGCAGCCATACTATCCTCAAATAGATCATGTCTCCACAATAGATCCTTTGTTCTGCTGAAAGACTGATAAAAAACAGGAACGCTTATGTTCATGAATGCAAAGCCAAATGCGTAGATTGTAAGTACACACTTAATATCTTACTCAGAAACCACATTAGATCAACTTAATTATTATAAACCTGCAAAAGTGCAACGAGTACTAGTATGTCGAGCCACAGTTATGAAAAACATCGATAAACAAATAAACCATACAGATAGAAAGTGGAGGACGTGAATTCCCTCAATCAAACATCCTTCTAGCAATGGTTGACAGCTCCACCTCTGAGAAATGAGCCTGCTAGCCCCTCAGCAAAATGACTCCATCAACCAACAACAGCGTTAGAATGAAGGAAATGAGAAATTCCTCACTTAACAAGAAGCCCCCTTTCAGATCCCCCATTTTATATCCAAAACAATTGACATATATGAAAACTCAAGATCTCCTACACCAGCCCAGCATAAAAGAGCTTAGGTGCCATCCCTCCACGTTTTGAGTTTCTTAAATTATGTAGCAGCTTGAATACGTGCAAAAAACAGCAATAGTTGTGGGCTTGCCTTTGCAATCTTAAATGTAGATGAACGATTAATTTTGAGAGGCCCTTGTCGGAGCATCCTAAATCCCCTGCCAACAAAGGTGCCGCCTGGTCTTTGGTCCCAACCACGGCCCCTGCCTCGAAACTGGCCTCTATCTCTTTCATTGTAGCTTCTTCTCATAATTAAACCATTCCACGACATATCTAAAAAAATATCATCAGAAATATTTAATGCAAATAAAGACAATGAATAGTCATAAGCTAAAAAGAATGGAAAGAGAGCTAAATAAGAAGAAACTTCTATCACAAGCAGAGTCAACTTATCTGATTAGACAATAGGATAATATCAAGAGCAACTGAGATCAAATGTGCAGTTCATTTTTATTCAGCAAAATACAGATATAATCATGTTATCAGATGAAAAAATATTGTTGTTAAACAGCTCTTGATGACAAGCTCTAGCACTGAAAATACACCTAAGGATCAAATATTCTAGCATTAATCTAGCAATATTAGTGCCAGAGTTCTTGATGTGAGAGCTGAAACAGAAAACAGAGGGCAGGCAATCAAAAAAAGGAAGCAACAAGAAGAACAACCAAGTTCCACTAGGTAGTTTTACTAAAATCGGCCTCTGCCTCTCCACAAGAAAGCAATTTTATATTTCCCTCCGTCCCCTAATTACTAGGTCCACTATACTAAATCCAAAAAATGATTTAAAAAAAGATATACAAACACGAAGTAATGGTTTAATAGATCGCAAAGGAAAATGAAGTATACGCCGCATTAAGTCTCCCCCGCTTCACAAGAACTCTCGACTGACTCATCTGAAGAATGCATGAATGTACTGAAACATTGAAAGTGCATGATGTAAGTCATTGATTTGTTTCATTGCGGCAAAGGGTCCAGGCTTTTGAGGGCTCAAGAACTCTCGACTCACTCATCCCAGAATAAGTTACCGGAGTGAATCATTCTTTGTGCAATCTAACCATGACTAGATCTTCTCGTTCAAACATTTTAAAATGTAGGTGTTGATCTACTGGTTGCTTGTACCGGGCATTAGAATTCATTAGCCTGAAATGCACGTCTTGCAATAATCTGGTGGCATCTTCGCCATGCATGCTGCTATTACTACTTTACTTTTGCATTTTGGGACCACTACATCGATGGGGTGATTAGGCATTTTGTTATAAACAATAATAAATGGACACAAACTTTTAAGCCGATTTGGCATGGAGCAATAAGCTCCCACTATTTTGAATGATCTCGTACCAAACAACGAAGCATGTTACCAAGGGTGCAATCTACAAAAATAGCACCCAACGAGTATGCTCTTAGCTGATAGGTTTTTGTGAACTGAGAAACTGAAAAGCTTGACGATCACTGCATAAAAAATCTTGGTTACGTAGGTAGTGTTCACACAGCTTGAGAACATGAACCGCTGCAAATAATTAATAATCGTACCTTCCACTGTTGCTGATTTCACTTAGCCTCCGACTAAAAACTCAATAGGATAACCATCCTGTGAGGGGACCGCCCCAATCCAGATTTCATAAGCATCAGTATAAATGAGGGACAGTTTATCAAAATTGGGGAGGCTAGCACCGGAGCTGAGGTAAGTGCAGCTTTAATTGCCTCAATGTTGTGTTGTTGTTCCTTAGACCAAAGAAATGTTTTGGATTTAAGGCAATCACTTAAGAGTCATTATCACACTAAACCCTGTATAAAACGATAATTGAAATTTGCCAATCCATGAAAACTTTGAACATCTAAAAATATAGTAGTGGTCACTCTTGAATGTCTGAAACTTTCCTTAAATATGTTTGAATTCCACTTCTTGGAACTATAAAACCGAGAAAATCGACACAAAAGGTTGCGAACTCACATTTTGATACAATAAGATACAAAGTTATCAATGTGAAGGACTCCAGAGATCTTAGCAAAATGTTGCATATGCTCTTCAAAAGAAGTACTATGAATCATTAAAAAAAAATGACACAAAAATAACCCAAAAATGTATGTATATATCTATGTATAGATACATGCAAGTATATATCTATGTATAGATACGTGCATGCATGTATCCATGCATACATCCATGGGTGTATACATGCATGGATGTACGCATGCATGTATGCATGTATGTATATATAGATACATGCAAGTATATATCTATGTATAGATACGTGCATGCATGTATCCATGCATACATCCATGGGTGTATACACGCATGGATGTATGCATGCATGTATGCATGCATGTATATATAGATACATGCAAGTGTATATCTATGTATAGATACATGCATGCATGTATCCATGCATACATCCATGCGTGTATACACGCATGGATGTATGCATGCATGTATGCATGCATGTATATATAGATACATGCAAGTGTATATCTATGTATAGATACATGCATGCATGTATCCATGCATACATCCATGCGTGTATACACGCATGGATGTATGCATGCATGTATGCATGCATGTATATATAGATACATATATATACAGAGAGAGAGAGAGAGAACATGTCGTCGTTCCACTCTGCTAGGGTTCCGCCCCATGGCGAACCCTAGCATCTTTCGCTTCGACTTGCGCTCGAGTCGTTTGCTCCCTTTCGCGTCGTCTTGTCTAGCGGCAGAGCTGCGATCGTGCTTGCATTTGTGTGTCTCGTCTGCGACAGAGCCGCTCGACAGCTTCTGCCTGCGTCTCGTCTGCGACAGAGTCGCTCGACACCTGCTTCTCTTGCGTTTCGTGAGCCGATCAACACCTTCCTGCTTCTGCTGCGTCTCCTCTGCGACAGAGCCGCCCGTTGTTGCGTCTCCTCTGCGACTTTTGCGATAGAGCCGCACGTTGTTGCGTCTCCTCTGCAACAGAGCAGCCTGCGTCGACACCTGCGTTGTCTGCGACAGAGCCGCTCCTATTTTTGGGCTTTGCGTTTTTTGTTTGCACTGGTCGCTGTAATGGCCTCAGAGCTTTCCTACGCCGTCGCCCTCGCCGGTGATAACCCCGTCAAACCCTCCTATGTTACAGTGGTTCACAAACGCAGCTCCTCTTTTCACCTCGCAGATAGTGCGGTATTCCCGCAGATTTACCATGATTCTGTTGCGGGAAATGGAGCTTGCAATCTTATCAAAAAAGTTGAGAAAAAGGCGGGCAAACCAGCAATTTTCTTTTCTGACGCTGAAATTTCAACTCGTACAGGAAATACAAATTTACACTAGTTGGAAAGTTTCAATTAGGTTGTCCTAAGATGAAGATCATCAAGAAGGTTTTTGAAGACTTCAAACTGGTTGGGGATTGGCAGATGGGTCATTTTGACGTAAGGCATGTTATGATACAGCTGAGCACAGAAAATGATTACACGAGAATTTTCTCAAATAAATTCATCACAATTGAGGGCAAACATATGAAATTGCTCAAATGGACCCCAATTTTGATCTCAGTCAAGAACCCTCAATTGCACCTATATGGTTCTCATTACCTGAACTCAAACTTCATTTCTTTGACCTACTTATCTTATATGCAATTGGTATTATCCTTGAAAAACCTTTGCAGGTAGACTTACCTACAGTTCATTTCTCAAGACCCTCTATTGCAAGGATTTTGATTGAACGAGATATTGGCAAAAATCATTATATAACAAAAACCATACTACTGCAAGATGTTTGGACACTCACGGGAGAAATTTTTCAGATTTCACCCATAGTTGAGAACCAATAATCAAAAGCAGGAGCACACTATTAGTGCACCCCATGTGCCTGAACGTGCTCCGAGCAAACCTGATGACAGGCAATCTAAGGAAGGAATCACCACAAGGCAGTAGTTGGTGTTTGCCCCTGGGATCCCTTCTCCTGACCATACTACACATACTACAACATATAATGTTCCCATACTACAACATATAATGTTCGAACTGAAAATCAGGATAGTTCCGCAGCTCCTATTCAGATAGCATCAAGTGCAAAGGTAACAACACACACTTCACATACATTGGAACATATTGTAGTGGCAACGACTGTTTTTCCTCCTACTGCGGTGCTAACATCAAATCAGATTGAGGATCACATGACCCGGTCTTCCGATGAAGAATGGCAGGTTTACACTTCTAGGCGGAAGAAGGCTGGGGGCTTACTCCAAGTTGGAAACTTAATGGATGATACTTTCGTAACTCCTGCCAACGGCACGACTCTTCAAAGCTTGTTATCTGCTTCCGCTCCTAAAACTAGAGAAATAGGCAAGACAAAACTGGCTCGTCCTTAGCTACTTGTTTTCTGCATGTTTTAAATTTGTTTTACATTTTATTGAGTCTATCTGTATCTTCTTCTTTTTTTTTGGGTATTACTGTACTTGTATCGTATGGTAGGGTGTCTCCTTTGGGCTCTTCTCATACTACCTTCATGTATCATTTTGTATTTCAATAGAATATATATATATATACATACATATAACATTTATACTTATGTTTAAATCACCATAGTTTGTGTGATCATTTTGTTCTGCATCTTTTATTGCATGTGAATGAAGTATGTTTGAATCCAATACCCTGCAACTACTTTTCTAATTAATTTAAATGAGCCGATTTCGAGACGAACACGAACAACAATATGTGAGTTGAACAAAAATACATTGTTCACAAACAATTTCAACACGCGTCAATTTTGAACAAAACTAATTTCGACTGAACCAAACACAAAGCAAGCTCAACTTGTTTACATCCCTAAATACCGCTCGCCTCCATCAGATTCAGAAAAATCATCTCATATCAATTTCATCATCATAATCCAAATATCCTGGATTTTCTATCACAATTTCCACCCTCTGTCCCTCAAACAAGGGAAACTAGCAAGGGATACTAGTATGGTTGTCGAAAGCGTGGTTTTTCTGCTTTGAACCCTTACAACTCCTTTAGCACTTCTGCAAAAAAACTAACAAACTCAACAAAATCGAAAAACTCAGCAATGAGCTTATCGATGCTTTATACCATATTAGCTTTTGTGGTCCATAAAGATTCTAGGATTTGATCTCCATAAATAGCCAATCCCTACCTTTCTTCCTCCATGCTACTAGTCGAATTCTCTCTAGTACTGCTAGATGAAATGAAGAACAAAGAGAAAGCAAAAGAAAAACAAGAAGCGACAAAAAGAACAACTTAACACAGCTAGGTAGTTTTACTAATCAACCTCTCCACTAGCAGGTAATCCCTATATAATTTCCGTCCTCTAATTACTATGTCCACTATACTATATGTAAAAAATAATTAAAAGAAGATATTCTAATTAATAGTAGCAATGTGTTAATGGTTCGCAGAGAAGAGTAAGGGTGTGGTTGGGGCAGCTTGTACTTATCCAAATAAGTCGCTTATCTGAAAGAGCGGACTGCGAGGTTCGACCAGCATTCAGCGTTTAGTGTAAAAAATCAATTGCATTTTCGGATAGGATGCTCAAACGCATTTTCTAAATGATGAGGTGTAATTTTTAAAATGCAGCCGCAACAGATAAACTGCCCCAAGTGGAGCCTAAAGTTATACACCACCTCAGTTTGAAACACTTAAGTCATAACGGCCGCAACATGAAGCATTAGGGACTTCAAGAAGCTTGAGAATTCTAGAAATTCTACCCCTCTAATACTCCATAAAATAGAGATTCAGCCCCAAATACTCTTTCAAACATGAAAGAAAACAAGAATACAGATTTGAGGCTATAATACATGATCTTGATCGAAAAAACTAACTCGCGTCTTTAGAACGCTGAACTCTAGCAAAAGAAAAAAAAATATGTGCGGACGAAAACGTAGCATGCTTCAGAAAAACCACCACGATACAAAAGTACTAATTAACGTCTTATCTTTCATAAAACCCTAGTGGACCAAAAAAAAAAAAAACTAATTGTTGATGCAACTATCATCATCCATTAAAACATCAACTGAAAACATATTAATTTCGGTACAGAACCCAAGAAAATCAGGTTTAAAATTTCGACCTCGAGAATAAAAGAGCATCAAACACAAATGAAACGGTATAAAACCGCCATCGAAAAATAATAAGAGAATAATAACCTGTTCGAGTAGAAGGTTTCCACACCAAGCCCGGAAATGTACAAAAACAAGGCCACTGAGCGAGGAAGGGAGGATAATAATAGACTGTACTAAAGAGATCCCAAAAGGAATGAGGCGGCGAAATCCTTATGAGAAGAAAGAGAGGTAGGGATCAACGCTGGTAATTCTTCCACATATATTCATTCTACAAGGATGAGATCTGCAAGAAAGAGGGGATGAATCCAGCTAGGGTTTTAGAAGGGGGCAAAAGTTTTGAGCCAGAAAGCAAGGAACAAGGCGGGGCAGGCGGGTTCTAACAAATGAGGCGGCGAGACCATCGGGAAGTCTCGGCCTGCTAATTCATATAATTAAGGGGAATTTACATACATACCACCAATTTCATACATATTTACATTCTAACATATAAATTTTATTTGGTACCTTCGCTTCACTCAAATTTTTCTGAAAAAAATAAAATACCGCTACTTTATTTCGTAAGAAGTATATTGCACCGTTTTTATGCATAACTAAAATGGCATGTATGAGGGTGCGTTGGGGGCTGCTTCCATTCCGCAGGGTGGTGTCGGGCCACGACTTTCGCCTATTTGGGATAACCTACAGGCCGCAGCGTCCGGCGTTTTTTTATTATACGCGGGCCGAGGGTCGGACCCATGGCCAGCGTTCGAGGCTTGTGTTATTACGCAATACCCTCATCGCTCATTTGTTCATTCAACACCTCATCGTTGCTCTGTTGATGACGACTAGGTGGAGAAGTTCTGGAAGAAGTTCGGTCCGCTATCTGAGCTCATGGAGATTTATGTTCTGAAGGGTGAAATTATTCTGCCATATAAGAAGAAGGTTGTATAGAGCTGATATAAAGTCAAAAATTATTTTATTTAGCATTGTTTCTTTTATCTCCTTTCACTCTGCAACGCCTAATGAAATAAGTCATGTGCGGTAGAGAAAATAGATGATGTCTTATGTGTTTCATTAAATACCAATTTGTTGTTGATTATCTGGAATAGTGTTTTTTTTTTCTATTCTGAATGTTAGATAATGACATTAAACTTACGAGATATGAAGGTTTAGCATCAGTTGTTGAGTTAATCGTTTATTTCTGATGTGCATTTGCCAGAAAGGGAGGGAAAAAAATTTTAATCGATTATCATAAGAAAAAAGATTGTTAAGAAATTGAAACAATAAATTTAGATTTTTTTTGGAAAAACATAATTAGAATATGTTTATAAGTGTTTATGTGAATATCTTTATCTCCATTTCAACTTTTTGATTCTTACGGAGTGTATTCTCATTTTAAAATCATTGTAAAAAAAAGGATTTGTTCTCTTTCAGTTTAAAAAAATTCTATCTTATATTTTACTCCAAATCTGAGTGTTTAAAATTTATATGAAACATCTTGCTATTGCATTTCATTTTGAATTATTATTTATGTTAAATTGTAATATTTAGCATTGTTTTTATTTAGTTGTAATCTATACTTAATGTATAATTTACCGTCTGGTTATGAGCATTATGTGCATCAACAATCTCTTCGGAAGTTTGGATGGAATTCCCTTCCATGTTGGTAGTTTCATTCTTGCTTCATCTTATGGTTATTTTATAGCTTATTGGTTTTTGAGAATGTGACAAATATATATAATATTATAATATATTGCTATCGAATTATTTACGTAGTTTGGTGTCATTTTAATTGTAAATTTGTATATATTGCTATCGAATTATTTACGTAGTTTGGTGTCATTTTAATTGTAAATTTACATCATGAATTTTGCCCATAATTAGAAGTCTACCTTGACTTTTGTTTATGATACAAAAAGGTTGATATAGGTAATTTTAGGTCATGCAGCATTACATCATGTGCTTAAACCTATAATGTTTATGTTTCACTTGATTTTCCACCATTAATGATTGATATTTGTACAACTTTGTATATGCTAAAATCATGTATCATGTACTTGTTGTTTATTTCATTTGTTCTAAGCTCCTATTGTTTCAATCTTTTTCTATTTATTTGCTTCAAAAGATGTAATGTCTATCAAATTATGTCATCTGCAAATAGTATAAATCAATTTCCTTGTTTAGTTATTTTAATTTTTAAGCATCTTCACTCCATGTGCTATTTTGAAGCGAATTTTTGCTTCTAAAGTATTAAATATATGGTTGTCACAGCATCGTTAGAAATAGTATTACTAAACAGTGGTATAATTGTCATTTGTCTAAAAATAGTTGTCACGTAGTTGTTTTCACACAACTGCAACAAACAACTATTCAGTTTTCCCGCAGCAACTTCATGGGGTAGCTAAGCTGCATCTGAAAAGCTGAGAAGCTAAAATTGCCCCAAACAAAGCCTTAAAACTTAGCTCATAAATATGCAATATAGAAATTAAATGTTAACTATCTAAATCATCCTAGAATGTAGCTTTTCTGACTCGCTTTTATTTTTTTATTTTTTAAGTTTTAAAATATACTTATTTTATAATTTTTTTCATGTTTTTATATTTTAATTTTTAAAAACAAATTTACTTGCTTTTTAAAAACAATCAAAATATATAAATTTTGTTTTGAGGTAAAAAAATATATATATGTTATATCATCTCAAATATATTTTTTTTTTCAAAAATAAAACATAAAACAAACAAATAAATTTAAAAAGTAAAAAAAAAAATCCCAGATTGCTACAATTTATAATTATCTAAGCATAACTTTTATTTAAAAAAAAAACTGTGTTTTTAATAGAATTCGACTTTTTTTAAATTGAATATTGCTTACAATTGTGGTCGAAATCAACTTAAAATAGTGTCAAGAGTGGCCAATATTGTGCAAATGTTAATATTATCCAATGGTGATAACAACACTTTGTTGCTACTAAGAATAAGATGGGGGCATGAGGTACTCTTAAGATGGAATCAATCATTGTTGATTGTAGGACATGCAATGATTGGAGTAACAAAGTAGCTTGTTAAACAGTGTCCAGCATTACAGAATAACGAAGCACCTTACTTAACATTGTCCAACATTGCAGAGTAATAAAACACCTTATTCAACAATGACCAGCGTTGGGGAGTAAAGAAGAGTCATGCCGAGTAGTGACCAGCATTGCATAATAATGAAACACTGTGCACGGTACTACCCAATGTTGCGGAGTTACAAAGCATTTTACAAACCCACCAACACATTGCTGACCAAACCAATTGTTCAGACCCCTCTAACACGGCAACACGTTTGTCCAATTTCCTCTAGTTGTTGCCATTTAAAAAAAAATCTCCACTATATATGAAGGACAATGGAGTTGAATGTGGGATTGTTATAAAGAGAGAGGAGTCATTCACAAACTGGGCTAAGATTTATTTACTTATATAACCACATACTAAAGTTGGAGAGGGGACTCTGGATTTTGGTGTGTTTCAATGATAAAGTTAGTCTCATCTGAAAATATGGGGTAATCGATACATCATCAACAAATTTTCATCATCTAACATGATTCTTGAGGCATGACATGAATATGAGGACAATTTTTTGAGCAACATCAATTAATAATCATCCAAAAATTTGATTTCAAGAAGCTTATATGAAAACTAGCTAGCCCGATGAGAAACACAAAGCTGGTCCAATCTGAGAAAAAAGAAGAACCAAATTGAGTCGTAAATTTTTTTTAAAGTTTTTGTTGCCCAATTGGAAAGTCAAATGGATTTAAATTTTGATAAACTTATGATTAAATTTAGTGTTTCGATATGATTAATTCGATGAGATAAATACCACTTAAATATGATGTCTTAAAGGCATTTAAATGTCCTTATAACTCCGGCTCATCAAGAAAATCTCCCTGTTCATCTTATAAAGTGGTATGGATTTTTTATTTAGTTTTTATGAGACATCTCATACACTATATAAATAGAGTTTTACCTCTTCATGAAAGGGAATGAAGACCCGGGTGTGGAGGAAGATTGAAAAGAGAAAGAGGCGAAGTACAATGTTTTGCATTGAAGATCCGACAAACACTTACAACTTTTGCGGTCGCCAACCGCAGTCGATCACCACTCACCAGTAGTCTTTGACCACCATTGGTCTGTAAAAGATTCTAAATACCATATTCGATTTACAAAATTAATTTTTAAATCGATTAGCGGAAACGAGATAGGATCATACATACCTCCAGCCATAACTTAAACGAACAGAGTCGACACTCACAACTCACACGACAAATTTTCTGTTATAGATCTTCTAAGCTTTTCTCACTCACAACCCGATGGTGCAAATAAAATGAAGAGGAGCAAGCTTAGGGACAAAAACAACAAACATCACATCTAATTTATAGTACTCTGCCCATCACAGAGTTCAATGGATGTGACCACATTATGGAATGCTACTAAATTCATGTGTTGAATTTAGACACTATATGAACCACATTCTGAAAATTATTTCTCTTAAAAACACCAAAGAATTCCAACGGTTATTGAAATAAATTTGAGAATTTCAATGGGTATTGAAATTAATTTGGGAATTCCAAAGGGTATTGAAATTAATTTAGAGTTTTAATTAATTTGGGAATTCTAAAGAAATAAATTTAATTCCCATTATTAACTAATTTGGGAATCTTAAAGAAAAAATCCCAACATTCTCCCACTTGGTTCATATAGTTCAACACATATCATATAGAGAAACAAAATATATGAATCATGGCGATAGGTCCTCTTATAGTGAGTATTATCTTCCATGTATTACACTATATCAAGTCTCTCAACACTATCCCATACAACTTAATGAATAAATCATATGTATATTCCAAAGTCCAAACGAATGAGATTTCTCAAAATAAATGAATGAATAAATATGTGCACAAAACCATATGAGAAATCATCAACTGAATTAAGAGTTTCAATAAATATTCGTACAATGTAACGCACATTATGGAACCAAGTCCCATTCGTACTACGTGATCCTTAAAATTCTTTGGTGGCATGCCTTTAGTCAAAGGATCCGCAATCATCAACTCAGTGCTAACGTGTTCAATGACCACTTTCTTTTCCTTAACACGTTCTCTTATGGCTAAATATTTGATGTCGATGTTTTTACTTCGACTTCCACTCTTATTGTTCTTAGTCATAAATACTGCAGCTGAGTTGTCACAGTACAACTTTAATGGCCTTGAAATAG